TAGGAATAACGTCTTTTTCAGGATCGACGTGTATTAACAAATATTAAAATCTTTTTAAGACTGTATAATGATAAATAATATTTATATGGGAGTACTACATACGCAGTATACAAAATTCACACATAATTATAATAAGCATTGTGATCCAGCTTTGACTGTTATTAACTTCCTTCTTCTTATTGTTGTTTATCATTATACAGTCCTAAAAAGATTTTAATATTTGTTTAAAAAAATACATTTTACAGTAATACAGTTTTATTTAATTTAATAAACGCACTATTTGCTTTGAGTAACAATTGTTTTTTAAATGTATCAGACAACATCGTCATAGAAGAAATTGTGTTCTCACCAACCACGATACTTGATTCTTCTTAAGGGAAAATTTATGAATACATAAAAAAACCATTTACCTATTTTATAAATGGTTAAATGATAGACATGATTCCATTTCAAATGTAAAATGGAAATGGTTTTCCAAAAAACTATTTAAAATGGAAAATGCAAAATGACATTTCCATTTTAAATACATATTTAAATATGTATTTAAAATGGAACTATTTTAAATATTACCCAGCCCTGGTGCTTTGTAACTTCATGCAGGGGCGCCAACTTTTGCGGGGAGTGTGTGGAGTACTCCACACGCCAGAATTTTTCATGTGTGGAATTCCACATATGAACTATTTTTTGAAAATAACTAGTATTGAGTAAAAATAGAAAAATTTTTTTGGAACTTTGTAACATCTCTCGGAGACGTTATTACGATTCTTCAAAAAGATCAGTGAGAGACTTAGTTTCAGAGTACACAAAACTAATTAAAATATTATTAACAATACCGGTGACGATGTGTACTGCAGAACGTTCTTTCTCTGCCTTGAGAAGATTGAAAACGTATTTACGTATTTTGAATTCATTAGCTGTATTTCACGTGCACTCCGATATTGCTGAGACTTTAGATATAGAAGCATTTATGGATGAATTTATTATAAGAAATAAGAATCGAAGCTCAACGTTTACCCTAAATGATTCACGAACTTAAATATATTTCTAAGAATAATGTATTGATATATAAATGTATATATTCTATTAATATATTAATTATATGCTCTAAATGGTTCACGAAGTTAAATATATTTAATAACAATATATGTATATACAAGAGGCTCCTATGAATAAATCAAATATTAAAATAAATTGCCGTTGATAGTCAACACAGGATGAAAGTGTGTAATAAAATTTATTTAGTTACATAAAATCGCATTGTAATTGTTTTTGACACCATTTATTCCATCAAAGAATTTTTTTAATATTAGTGTAATTCATGCATTGAAAAGGACCTGGACTAAGGTTGAAACGTATGCGATTTTATGTAACTAAATAAATTTTATTACACACTTTCATCCTGTGTTGGCTCTCAACGGTAATTTATTTTAATATTTAAATATATTTCTAAGAATAATATATTAATATATACATATATATACAAACATAAATAAAAATGAGCAACAGCCACAACGCAAGATGTCATTCGCAAAGTCATGTATTTAAAAAGAAAATATAAAAGTAAACGTTTCGGTCAATTTTTGACCATCCTTAGTACAAAGAACTTAACGTATTTAATATATAATTTAATAATAATTCGCTAGATGTTAATAATAATATCATGAAGATTTTTAATAATGTAAGAACGAACAAAACTATGCAATTTAAAAGATGTCAATATTTAAAAGTCAAATAAATTTTTTTATTTTAATTTTCCATATAAACTATTGTATCGTTTATTAGTCAATTGTGTGTACCACACAAACGTATTCGAGATATCGATTTATTATATTAAAAAAAAAAAGAAAAATATGTACATGCATATAAAAATATTTGATATTGCAATTATATTATAATATAATTATTATAATGTAATAATATAATATAATAATAATAATTATTATTATATATATTTATATACCAATTGTAATATAGAATTCTATATAACGTCTTTGCGACGTGACAATTACGTGTTACATGAAATTTTATTAAATAAAGATAAAATAAGAGAAAATATTGTTCATCTTTAAAATATAAACGACAATATCCTAAAAAATTTGACAAACAGCTAAAACAAAAACAGTCAAATTATTTATGTTACGTCATAGCGACGTTCGAAAGACGTATCATATTTTCTGCGACTTTGCTACCAAAATGGCACGTCTTTGTTACGTATGGTGCAGGCAGGATAGCGACAAAACAGAGCATGTTACAAAAAATGACGAATATCATGTAATCTATTTTGACGTTAAAAATTAGTCTCTAGCGTCAGCACGAAAAAGCACCTATACAGAATATCAAAACGTTGTTTGAAAGAATAATACTGATAAAATAGTAATTAGCAAATATTTCAATTCCTATTTGTTTCTTAAAAGTCTAGTAATTATACGCAGTGACAGTGATAAGACGCAAATGTAACCGCACGTAAACGTAACAATGTGAAAAATATTGTGTAGCATTTTAAAAATGACAACACCGTTTATATAGATATATACTCATAGTTATGTAAATATTCATATCGTATTAATAATCACATTAAATATCTAAATAATAATGTACATTAATGTACATTATTATTCAGATATTTTTGCTAAAAACTTGTACTTTCTATTTTTTTTCGTCTTAACGAAAAAAATATACAACATATTTTACAATTTGTATACATATACATATAGAGTTTCTAAAAAGTCCGAAAACGTTAAAATATCTTAAAAGTAATTGACTATAACAAAAAATATGTAAGAAGCAAAGTTGTAGATTATTATTCCTAACTACTGGTAGTTGTAGCAAATAAAATGTATTTGATGTGATATGATTTTGACTTTGGATGGAGTTTGCTATAGGATTGTGTATAGTCAATTGTTCTACAATGTGCTCTTAGTTTCCTGTTTTTTGCTGTTTGTCTCTTGCTCGTTCTTGCCTTTTTGACCAAAAAGCAAGAAACAAACAGCAAAAAACAGGAAACAAAGAGCACATTGTAGAATTACCATTAGCGTTTACCTAAAAAGCATTTACCTTACAGTAAACATTTTAAAAACTTCTTATATGTCAAATAAATTTATTTAACAAATTATAAGGCTAATTCTACAATGTGCTTTTTGTTTCCTGTTTCTTGCTATTTGTCTCTGTTTGTCTCTTGCCTTTTTGATTAAGAAGACAAGAGACAAACAGCAAGAAACAGAAAACAAAAAGCACATTGTAGAATTAGCTTAAGTCGCGAAAAAACAATTTCAATAATAAATGGACTGAAAAAAGAACTTTATCACTACACGTGTCCCAAATATATTTCTCATATCCTTATCAAATGATTGGAATAATGTTCTTTATTATCACAACTTTAATTTGCGACAAAATTGTGCACTTATCGTAATAAACGCAAGCAATGAAAATACGCTACTTAACAGAAAATAAGACACAATTTTAAACTTGCTTAAAATTGCGCAACATTCAGAACATAGTAATTTGATGAAAAATCATTATAGACAAAAAATCAAAAGAGCATTTGAAGGTATGATTTCTCTTTAGAAATCAGTAATTGATATTTTAATCTGACTTATGACGGAGTTATGCGGACACAAAGGAATATTCGTCACATCAGAAAATTTTGTACAAATTTTACAAAGATCTATGACGTGAAATAAAAGTCATACAAAAATGCGGTTTGCAGTAGTCGAAAGAATGACTCTTTATCTTCTTTTTTTAATGAGCGTTGCATAATTTTTTTTTCATTGAGTTATGAAATGTTATAGCAAAAGTGGTCATTTTTCAAATAATACATGTCAAATGGAACAAAACAATAACTTATATCTTGTCTATAGAGAGCAGCAATGAAAATTGGCTATATGGTATTATTGGAAATTGATTCTAATAAATGAATGTAGGTTCCATCCAGAGATTCAATAATATCTTTTTCAAATTGGTCAATTTTTTGTTCCTTGATGTGTAATGTCTCAGAAATGACCTTTTTGCTATAATTTGATTCAGAATCAATTATTTTAATTTTATTCCAATCAATTATGTATGATTGAACTGTAAAATGTGTTCCGTAATGATACAATGTCTGGATTGATCACGTTGTTCATATGCTCATTTTTTGTCGTACTAACATAAGTTTCTCTTAGTTTGCCCACGTAGGAGGCATCGCAAATGTAAATATACGTATATTTTAAAAATAAAAATTTTTTATAATACATATTCTTTAAGTTATTCGAAGTTGCATTTTAGTTAGTTGCTTATTTTTGTTTGATAATCTTGTTCTTTTACTGTATATTCTAGGAATTTGTATAATCTTAATTAACCAAAAAGAATTAAGAGGTGTTAGATAATTCTAAATACATAATTTCAGTAAATTTACGCCGCCACCTATTCTCTAAATCCTAAACACGACAAGTCGCGACGATGTAAATAGCTATAACCTCGCTTAGATGAGGGATCTTTTTCAAGATCTCTGACCTCTCTTAGGCCACACGACCAGTTAGGTAAGCTAGTTAGCTTTAACGCGTGTAAACGCAGGCAGACAGTCTAAAGGTGTAAAATATATTAAGAACACCTTTATTTTATTCAATAGATGTGGTACTCACGTAGGACTAAATGCGACCTACATTAGGCTAAAAAATATTATAGGTCTATATGGGATAAACGCTCCGTTCGAGATCTCCCTTAGGTGGGGTAAAAGTCAAGGTATAGTAGTTGGATGTAAACTAGGCCATTATTTCATAATGTTCTGTATGGGCACAACATCAGAAAATAATTCTGAATGTAAAAATAATTAAATTTTTTATGTATTATTTGTTTTATGTAACCTTATTTTCAAATAACGACCGTTTTTGTACGTGTTTTACTAATTTTTGTTACAATTTCAGTTTTCAGATTACAATATTATTATGTTCTCGCGTTTCCTTAGTATCAGTAAATGCTTCTTCTAGACATACCCTACAGCTCCCGTTCAGTTCACATAATACCTATATAAAAAGTCTGTAACTGGTAAACAATAAATAAAACAGATGTATGTATGGATATTCGTTGTGTCTTGAATTTACTTCTGAATGTATGACTCATATTATAAAACACCCTCTATATATTTTATAATTATATTTTCATATACACAAGATTTTTTAATTTATTCCAGGTATACAGTGATTAAAATAATAACTCGATTATAGTATACATTTTAAATATCGATTTATAGTAGCAAGCAGTTCTCATATTTATTATCAATTTGCACCATGTCATCTTGGCTCGTTAAACTGGTAAGAAGTATACGTTCTGTAGTACATGGTCCATCTGCAAACATTACAAATTATACATATATGTATGTATATATATTGTAATATGATACTTTGTTCTAATAATATTTTACAAGAGTACTTATATATTCTAATTTACAATTAGAGAAAAGTGATTTTATATTAAGTCTGAGTCGTATGTAATTCCACAAAATAATATATTTTATTTTAATAGTTATAATATATATGATATGTTTATGGTTAACATCGAGCAATATGATTATGCGTGATTATTATATGAAATGAATATCCTTTATATATAAGTATTATTTATTGTTTTAGAAAGATGATAAGGAATTAATTAGATATCATAAGTTCCAACGTTTTTCCTTTAAATTATTGCTCCTTATATTTTATTCTTATTGAAACAACTGGGGTTATTAAGCCAAATCATAAAATTGTGATGTATAATATTGTACAAATACATTTAATGTTACAAATATATTTCGACTTAAAACTTACCTAGTCGATACCACTCATCCGTATTCCCTGCATCCGCTCTAGCTGAATTCAGTGCTTCGCGGATCGCTATCGGAATTACGCAACTCATACAAAGCGATGGTTCACCGGTTGCTACAAAAATGTTCCATGATTAATGGCAGGAATGGACTCTTTAATGTTTTTAATTTTTATATGCTTAAAGCAGATTTATTTAAATGTTCTGTTGTTTAGATTCTATTTATAGTTTATTTAAACTAAACTTTTTAAATTATATTTTATTTTTTTGTAGGATCAAGTATAGCTAGAGTGCAGTTCGAGTGCAAATTTGAAATTTATGATTTTTATTTTAGACGAATTTTTTTAAGAACCAGAAGCGTTTTAAAAATATTGTTGAAGACCATATTTAAATTTTTGATCTAATTTTGTTAGTGTTTTCATTGAAATTATAATTGAATATTTCTTGGTAATACTGACAAATTATAAATATGTTTTGTCTCTATTCTGCATTCATCGACTCAATTGTATAAATATAATTTGTAGAAAACATTTAAGTTTTGCTTTTAATAGGAAATAATAGTTTAAATAAAAACGTATTAATCTCACCTTTTGAACCAAACATACCGAATGTGTTGACCGAATTTTTGCGTAAATATATGCGGAAATCTTCAGGAATATCCTTCGCTACTGGTGGTTTATAATTCTGTGAGAAAGAATTGAATTCTTTAGATAAATGTTTAAGAATCTCTCAATGAATCGAAGCACTTGCTTCTTAGAAGTAACAGCTCAATTGAAATTTGACGAATATAACGTACCCAAGTTCTGTCATTCGTTAATACTCCTGTATTAGGATCGTACACCAGGTCCTCAGAAGTCCAATATCCTATTCCCATTACGAAAGCTCCCTCCACTTGACCGACGTCTATTGCCGGATTTAGGCTTACACCAGCATCTTCCATCAAATCAACTCTTCTGATAATATGCTGGCCGGTCAATACATCAATCTCTACTTCAGCAATGGTGACACCATAAATGTTGTAAGGCTTTAACTCGTCTTTTGTTGGCCCGGTTGGCACCCTGCCAAGAAATAAGTTATATACAATAAATAATGACTTATTTAATATCAAGACATGTCTATCATTTTGTAAATACAAGATTCTCATGTATTTATTTATTAAAATTGTATTGAAGGCATACTGTAAATATGCTTACTGCTATAATACGAATGAAATATTTAAACTGCATCTTTCACAATCTATTATTTATTTCAAACAAAAATAGCAATTATTTTTTCTGAACAAATGTACAATACTTTTAGAAAAATGTTTTAAAGTACTTTATGAAAATTTTGAATGATATAATGTGTAATTGATATTTTAAATATGACCTAATGACTCTTACATGTAACGTGCGCATAAATCAATGTCTTTTTTATATGCTGCGAAAATAAGATCCTTCCAAGTCGGATTTCCCATTTCTTCTTTTATTGGTTCAAGTCTCTTCAAAATCTCATTGCAAGCTTGAACTGTTGCCTGGCATAAATTCAATTATTTATATCATCGCTAAATATGATAATGTGTATATTTTATGTTGTTTTTTTTTTAAGTCTCGTAAGAGTTTAAATCATCTGTCACACACAAATGTCCGAAAAAAATTTGATTCTTCTTAAAACAAGTGGTTAATCATAAGACCTTAAGAGATACATCTTTCTTATGATTATCTAGTCTTTAATTCGAGGTACATTCATGATACATTCCCTCAAAACTAATGCTTGGATTTGATTGTTATTAATTATCTACGAAACGGTAAGATGTCAAAAAGTGTTTTAGATAAAACATTAAAAGTTTTTTATATACTTGATTAACTGTGTATTTTGAATTTTCTAAAATCTAACATTTTTTGATTTTTTTTGTCTTCATTAATTTTGAGCTAATACGTGTCACATAGATTATTGTGTTTAACAATTTGTTTCAAAAAGAATCGTATCGACTTTGAACAGCTACTGCGATTTCTTGTTAGAGGTGATGTAAATACTTACGTATCCGCAGGATTGTGTAGTAATATCGCCTCCAGTATTCGCATTATTGGGTGCTATTATATTATTACTTCGTTTAACGGAGACTAATTCCAGATCGATTCCTAATGTGTAAGCTACCATTTGAGCAATCTATAATAGTATCAATAATATATTTTTAAGTATTTAAAAATATGAAGTATTGTATTTATATTAAAATGTAGTACTTTCTATATAAACGACTCTACTATGTAAATAATTTTTATTTAAAATTAAAAAAAAATGTATCCACACAATAGACCATGTACAAAAATCCGAAAAGATCGAATAGCAAAATTTTAATAATTATTTTTTTTAAATAGATATCTTATTTTATACTGAAATAAATCTGTTTCTTATCAATTGCCTTTTCTTTATTTGTTTATTCGATTATTGGATGAAAAGAATAAAAGAAATTGCTTCAATAAATAAATATATTTTCATACCTTGGTATGTATTGCTTGACCGACATCAATTCCGCCAGTTGTCACGCAAACCGAACCGTCACGAGCGCAAATAGACACCATTGCGTTGAATTGTCCAAAATATATTATCGGAAATTTCATTATTACTGTAGCAATTCCCTTTTTTTTCCAACGATTCTGAGTGTTGAATATTTCAACGGTTCGCTTTCGTACCTCATAATCGGCCGACTTTGACAAATCTTTTATCATAGTTTCGTATACACTTTTATCTACATCATTCATATTTGATAATCTGATTTCTACCGGATCCTTTTTTGTCACTCTTGCTATGTGCTCCATTATATTTTCGATCATCGCTACTGCTTCCGTATTTCCTGGTGCTCGACACAATGTATTTGACGCTAAATCAGTTCGTACGTCAAATCCGTTGAACGACCAAGTATCGGTCGCATAGCCGCAACTATAATAAAAATATTAATTGTGTATACTGTATATGAACTAATTGAAAACTAAAAATAACTAGAAAATTACGCTTATATAAGCATTAAAATGATATAGATAGAATTTTCTAAATTTGATTTAGGTAGTTTTAAGAAATTATTTTGATTGTTAATTATAACATAACTTTATTTAAATTAATATCACCATTGTATACAAAAAATACAGTGTATAATAAAAATGCTTTTAATATTAATACTTATTTATTGGATTTGACAAGTAAAAAAAACTTTAGCAGAAAAAATTAATTAATTTTTTATATACAGTTATAAATTGCTTATATATGGTATTTGCTCATACAGGTACTACTTTGTTATATTTTCAATACCTTTGCATGCTGCCAACCACTATGGCAGCTTGTGATTCATTGAAATTGGAACCGCAGTTGCTCCAGTGTTTTGAGTTGAGGTACTGGATAACTCCGTCATTATCCACTCCAATTTCATATTCTTGACGCGTAGAATATCTCTTACCTACCGATAGCATGTTGCTCTCTATCGTCATAACGAATCGTGCTGGACGATTCAATTTGTAACATACCAATGCACAAGCACATGAAATGTGCGCGTTGCGTGAGATTCTCGATCCGAATGCACCACCAACTCGCCTGACGTACACATTGATGCTAGAAGAATTAAAGATTAGTTTTTTTAATTTATAAAATACATTTGTGACGGACCTGTTTAATTTATTGGAGAAGTGAAATCGTTTTTTATGATTTTACTTTATAGGTATAATCACTTTAAATTTTTAATCTAGGTAACTTTTTCTTATAATTTCCACGATGCGTTAAGAGTAAATTAAAATATAAAAAATAAAGTGATGGTATAGATACTAAATATAGATCACATCAGCTTATTGCTTTGGAGAAGACCTTATTAACACTGTCAACTCATACGGATTACATTTTACGATTAAACTAATGATATAAATACTTTAACATTTTTGAAAGATTTATGTGAGAGTTTAAGAAGACACTTGACATATAGATAAGGTCGTCTCAATAAATTGATTAGTTACCAATTATTCTGAACATTAAGACAATTCGCGATCGATATTTGAGTAAGATCCATCCATTGCGACGTTGGATAGACGTCCATGCCATCTTCTGCAGGAACACACACGCAAGATTGAGTTTCCATGGTGAAATGATACTGGCTGCCGCATTGAAAAACGCCTTTTATTACATGTTGGGTATTGTTTCCTAAAAAATAATAGAAAATAATCTTCCAATTATATATATTATTATTCTAGTATTATTTTTTCGTTTTTAATATAGTAATAGTTACTAATACTATTATACAAGTTTAACAATAAATATATAATTTATCGCATCCTTTTTCCCAATATAATTGCGAAATATATTTGTATTAATTTTCTTCTGATAATTGCAAAATTAACAAGAAAACAATATAATTAAGAACGTTAAATCTAGTATGGTACTGTATTAATTTCTACCTTTACTTTTTGCTGGAATGTTGGCGCTTTGCCTGATTCTAAGATTGTCCTGTGATTTTAGAGCATCCTCGATACTTATCACCGGCTTCGTTTCCAGAGATTCGCTATAAGTAATTTTCACCAATGCCGCGGCCTCATTTGCCAAATCATGCGTCTCCGCGACAATTACGCCGACCGGTTGACCAGCGTACAAAACATCATTTTCAGCAAACAGTAATTCATCCTCTTGCAAGAATAACAACTCACTATCGGCGGAAATGCACAGATTCTTTCCCGGTACATCATTGGCGCTGAAGAACGCTACTACGCCTTTCATTTTAAGCGCCTTGTTTGCATCTATACTATCTATCTTGCCATTACCGATTTCAGTGAGGACGAAAGCGCAAAAGACTTCTCTAGGAAATGAAGGGAGGTCATTGCAATATTGGACTTCGCCTGATGTTTGTTTAATGGCATCTAACTTCGTTATAGGCTTATTCACTGGCCATATGTTCGCATTTGTATCGTAATCCTGTGTACCTATAGTGACGATATATATATATATATATATATATATTTTGTATGCTCATTTTGAACAATCAGAACATATATATCACTAATTTATACATATCTATCAATTATAATATAGGCATATTTCTATATTTTTTTTAGTATCAAAATTATTAAAAGCATTAAAAGTTTTCAAATTAATATTTTGGTTGTATACCTGATGATAGACCTCGTTCTAACAACGAGCCTCCACTACGAAGTCTGGGATCTACAATTTCCGGTCTAATACTTAACGCAAACTTGTAAAATAATCCTTCGGCGAGCGTTCTGCGGAATTCCGGTGAATAGTCCGGCAACACATGGTCAGGTTGCAGTTCGTTATGCAATGTAGTAAAGGCTACCTTCAGTACTTCTTTATCAAGGATCGATTTTCCCACCAGAAATTGCTCTGTATTTGCTGCGTGCAAAAACTGTTTATTGATACCACCAAAGATGATGTTAGGTTTTTCCAATACCTTTTCATTAAAAATATAAACAAGAATTCATGAAATACAGGTAATTAATAGTAACATTGTATGAACATTATAAAAATATTTTGTTACTTTGCCACCGCCATCGAGTTTGAAGAGGAAGCCGGCATTGACATGTGCGTGAGCATTCTGGGCTCTCGGCATGATCTTGTAAGATTTAAATTCATAATCATTGGATAACGGAGGTAATATAATGCTGTAGATGATTTTATGGAACATATTAAGCTTCAGAAAGTCCGTAAGGAACAAACTTCGCTTCCTACTTGGTGATTCTAGAACATGTACTTGAGCACCAACGGTCTCTAATATCAAAAATATATCAGATGGGAACTCATTGTGCTCGTGTTTGATCATTAAGTTACCGGCGATGCTACCGGTATTTCGCACGGGTACGTTTGCGATCATTTCTACATGTTCGGCTAATTTATTTATATATATATATATATATATATATATTTTGTATGCTCATTTTGAACAATCAGAACATATATATCACTAATTTATACATATCTATCAATTATAATATAGGCATATTTCTATATTTTTTTTAGTATCAAAATTATTAAAAGCATTAAAAGTTTTCAAATTAATATTTTGGTTGTATACCTGATGATAGACCTCGTTCTAACAACGAGCCTCCACTACGAAGTCTGGGATCTACAATTTCCGGTCTAATACTTAACGCAAACTTGTAAAATAATCCTTCGGCGAGCGTTCTGCGGAATTCCGGTGAATAGTCCGGCAACACATGGTCAGGTTGCAGTTCGTTATGCAATGTAGTAAAGGCTACCTTCAGTACTTCTTTATCAAGGATCGATTTTCCCACCAGAAATTGCTCTGTATTTGCTGCGTGCAAAAACTGTTTATTGATACCACCAAAGATGATGTTAGGTTTTTCCAATACCTTTTCATTAAAAATATAAACAAGAATTCATGAAATACAGGTAATTAATAGTAACATTGTATGAACATTATAAAAATATTTTGTTACTTTGCCACCGCCATCGAGTTTGAAGAGGAAGCCGGCATTGACATGTGCGTGAGCATTCTGGGCTCTCGGCATGATCTTGTAAGATTTAAATTCATAATCATTGGATAACGGAGGTAATATAATGCTGTAGATGATTTTATGGAACATATTAAGCTTCAGAAAGTCCGTAAGGAACAAACTTCGCTTCCTACTTGGTGATTCTAGAACATGTACTTGAGCACCAACGGTCTCTAATATCAAAAATATATCAGATGGGAACTCATTGTGCTCGTGTTTGATCATTAAGTTACCGGCGATGCTACCGGTATTTCGCACGGGTACGTTTGCGATCATTTCTACATGTTCGGCTAATTTATTTAGATATTGAAAGTTGGGTTCGGTTGAATATTTGTGGAAGGTCTCTAGTGCCACGGCGAGAGTTACATTTCCTCCTAGGGCCAGATAGTCTCTGGTTTTTTGGATATTACGCAAATCTGATATATCGTTTATATCAATGCATAAATCTTTTTTACTCGAGCGATAAACACCTGCAAAATTAAATTTATATAATATTATATAAACTAAGGTTTACTTTTTACATTTAATGAATCGCGAAAATTAATAGTACTATCAAATGACATTATAGAATAATTAAAATTATCGAAACCTCTTAAAGATTTTTATTTTCTTTAGTAAATTTTAATAAACCTTACAATGTTATCACAAGAGAAGTCAGTATCAATTTAAAAAAAATTATTAATAAACACAGCGTGTAATTATTACTGAAGGCTGACGTAATGAAAATATATATTATATATATGTATATATAATTATATATGGATTCTTTAATTATGTGACGAATTAATTATATTGCAGAAATATTAATATTTCATTTTATTGAAGGGTTTACATTTTCGTAATAAAATATTTTGATGAGAAAAAAATATACTTTTTTCAGTTACTTAAAAGTAATGACACGTTTCAATAGAATATTACCATACGCAGTATTTCCTCCATTCAATATATAAGTAGCTCGTGGATTTTGTTGAAATATTGTAAATAGATCTCTGATAGAGTAAACTTTGTAAAATTTTGCGTCCTCCAATACTATGTATATCATGTTTACACGTGATAGTTGCTTATCGCAGCTGTTATCTGTACATAGCATTCCATATTTCGGGCACGTTTTGATCTTGTACAATTCCTGCGAAGTATGTTTTATTATACTTATAAATAACAGAATGTATTATACAAAAATATATCTCAAACATGCAACTGCGTGACGGTTACTTTCGGCCTTGCAATATTATTAAATAATTATTATTATCCCCACCATAAAAAATTAAATCTCCGAATTTGATGCCAGCATTTTGAATACTGCAAAGAACGTATTGTAAAAAATATTACTCAATCAAGATCCAAACCTGCAGTATTCTGTAACTATCGTTAAGGCAGTTAACGACATCGTTGCGCAGATATCTTATGCCGGTATAAAAAGCTGCGCAACCATATCGTTAACTATCTTAACGAGTTACAGAATACAGGGGCCGGACAGTTTTGTCTTTTCCAATTCGATTGCGGAGGCCTATAGCTTATGAAGTCTAAGTAGCATTAGTCGTAATAATGGGTGTATATTTACTATCTACACTTAAAAATTATTATATTAAGTTATTAAGATCTAGTCTTGAATAAATTGGCCCTTTTCTTATTTATTTGATTTATTTATATAGCGGTTTCGATTAACTTAATATTACAATATAAAAAAAATTTTTTAGTCACGACTAAATAATAATTATCACAATAATAAAATGAAGTTTCCTTTTTGACAAAATTAAAGAAATTTTGATATAAAAATTAAATTTTTGTAAAGACATTAAAACTTTTTACACAAGCACCTCGATGTCGTTGATGTTTTTCACCATCGATGGTGGTGCGTCATTGGCAAATCCCTTGAACGCATCCAAAATCGAACGATATCCAGTACATCGACAAATATTCCCACCGAATGAATTTTCGATTTGTTGCATAGACAGCTTTTTGTCACGCATGAGACTATGAATTATAAACAACAAATATATATATATATATATATATTTACGCTGTTTTTGTTTTACAAACATTTGTTGACACTTTATTTTAATTTATGACTTGTTTGTTTATTATTGGATTATTAATAATTATATAGGAATTCATTTAATAATATATTCATATGTATGTTCATTTTTCTGAAAAGTACAGTCTTAAATGTGACTTTATTGTAATACCAGCAATTCCAAACAGATTTCATCAAGAAGAAAAAAATGAAATATATCTGAAGTATATAATATTCCTTTAAAATTACAAATTAATTAACTATTTTAATAATACCTACCCATACAGATTCATTACCATACCAGGAGAACAATATCCACATTGAGAACCATTTTTATCAGCCAGTGCAGCTTGAATTGTGTGATAACCATCTCGCTTGTTACCTAAGCTTTCAATAGTATAAATATCCCATCTGCAATATTTGATATATAATATTAGTGCATGAAACATTAATATTAGCTTAAATTTGATAAGTTCAAGAAAGTAAGATGTGAATTAACAATATAAATATAAAGAGATATAGTTTAATATTTTAAAAGAGTAATTTCTGGTGTCAAGTATAACAGTAATGTCATAACATCAATTCACCTATAAAAATTTGGCATTCGATGCAAACTTTTATAATTCAAGAACATGTTTAAAAATAATTTATGTAAAAAAATTATTACGTACATCTGGACTCAGATGATGATGAGAAAACTAAATTATTTTAATGATTGAAGTTTTCTTGGATATAAAATGCAATGTATGCACGATCTGAAGAAGTTAACATACGTACCCATCGCATATGAGTATCGGTACTAGACAAGAATTCACGGCCATTGTTTTGTCTTTAATTTTCACAGCTACAATACAGGCACCACAGCCACCCTCGTGACACATTGCTTTTGTGCCACGTAGTTTCGCATAATCGCGAATGTAGATGTTGAGGGATATGCAAGTCTGTATACAAACGTGACAATCGTTTCCATTCCCTGATACTGAAAACGACTTTGCAAATAAAATCGAAGTAAAATTTATAATTGTATAATATAACATTTACATTATTGCATTTTATTTCTAAACTCAATGTTATAATTTATATAGTTTTATGAATTTTTATAATATATGTATATAATACTTCTTTTACGTAAAATTTTCACAATATAATGATTTTTGTCATAACATATATTTGATAAAAAAGTTTTAAATTAGATTTTTATAATATATGAACATTGAATTTTAATATATTTTTATTGCAATCTAAATTATTTCACTTTTTAATATAAAAATATCAATAAAAAGGTCCATATTTTCTTAATATAATACGTACCAGCATGTGGAACTCCATTAATTGTAAAATTAACATAGTCTTTTAAGTCTCTATTTCTGAAATTAAACTTTAGTTACATTGGATACATTTTAACGTTATTATCAACTCCAAAAATGTAGATCCTATTTTCTACGAATGTTTTACTGTTTAATTTGATACTGGACAATATACAAATAAATATTAAGGGGATAAGAAATATATAATTTACGATATTTTTGTAAAAATATTATAATTTCTTAAATTTATGCACCTACATTATATGAATTTCTTCACATTCTGTTGCTGTTTCCATGTTTATTCTTTAGTTGTGTCAACGTAATAAAATTAAGATTTCGTTTTTCTTGTTCAAGTTCTATTAATTGTTATGAGATGTCGAAACGTTTTCTGAAAATATAATATTTAGGAATTATTGGATAATACGGCTTCTTTTATAATACATTGATGTCACTAAAATTAGGCAGTAACAATGATAAGACTTTGAATGAAAGCGCTAATACAAATCAAATGTTTATGAATTTTATTTTCAAAATAGCTATTATAAACACAAATCCATTTACAAATAGGTATTCGTAAATGGATTTGTGTTTATAATAGCTATTTTGAAAATAAAAGTTTAATTTTAAAAATCAAATTTATTAGCTTTAATCATATTGTTTTGGAGGACATGGAAGAATACAAAAAAATTTTACTCTACGAGAATTAGATTCAAAAGTTATGTCGAACAGAATTGTATCATGTTTGAAACTGTATACAATCATATTCTACACCTATAGTTTCAAACATGATACAATTCTGTTCGACATAACTTTTGAATCTAATTCTCGTAGAGTAAAATTTTTTTGTATTCTTCCATGTCCTCCAAAACAATATGATTAAAGCTAATAAATTTGAATTTTAAAATTGAACTTTTATTTTATTAAATTATATAAATGTAATAAAAACTTATATAATACGTTATTTCTGTTTGTGTTATTATTTGTCAGTTATACCAATATCGACGAGACATTTGTGCTAGCAATCCTCTGTCTAAAGAAGTATCGACTCTTCAAGTGCTTTTTCATACTGACATTCGACGTGCATTGTTAGCGTCGAAACAAGTCACGTGACAAAAATTCAACGTGGCGAGTATCAAGCGTCAATTTTGACGATATGATCCATTTTAATGCTGACCTTCGAGTGTCAGAATAAAAAAACACTTTCACGGAATGTCAAAACGTTATTCGGAAGAATGATGCTGATAAAATAGTAATTAGCAGATATTTCAATTTCTGTTTACTTTCCGAAAGTCAAATAATTACACATTGGCGATGATAAGACTGTTATACTAAAAGTAACAATATGAAAATTTCGTATATCATTTTAATATAATGACTACACCGTTTATAGATATACTCATAGTTATAAGCACGGAGTGTTTGTATCATATTAATGATTATAATGTAATACCATCAAATACTTCTAATTATTTACAGTTGAGTATTGAATGGAGTATTGAATGGAGTTACGCAACAATAACGATATAATATTAATTGTACGCATTTAATAAGCATTTAAGAAAATATATGAAGTAGTAAAAAATTAAAGGTTAAGTATAGCACGTACACGCAAAGCGCGCGTATGTGCTGTCCAGTACGATAACAAACTTGATAATTTATTTTAAAACTGTTATTTTTGCAATAAATTTTTACTTCATGTTTTAATGTTTTTTTAAATAGCATATTTTGCAGAATTTTCAAGTAACATGAGTTTAAATATATTTTATAATGTTGTTGCAAACATATTGTCATTATAGCTCAAAAAAGAAATATTTTAACGGTATGAGATTATTCTTGAAATGTTAATAAATGATGGTAACATTGTATACTTTAACATCATTCAGAACTCTAACTTTCCTTACTGATTATTACGTATTTTCGCTTAATATTTTGTCTTTCTTTATAAGAAACTTTTTGGAAAATTGTAATCTTAACAAAGAAAATATGCAACATATTTGACCTATTTTAATAATATACAGGGACACCAAAAAGTTCGAAAACGCTAAGTTATCTCGAAAACAATTGAGTATAATAAAAAATATGTAAAAAGCAAAGTTGTAGAACTTAATAAAGTATACTTAATGTGATAAGAATTTACTCTGAGTGAAGTTTGCTATAGTTAATCTAATATTTCAGCGTTTATCTAAAATACCTAAAATACTTTTACCTAAAATGCGTTTGCTCTACAGAATAAACATTTTAAAAGACTTTTTATATGTCAAATAAATTTATTTAATAAATTGTATGTCGCAAAAAAAATAGTTTCTAGAATAAATGGATTGTAAAAAACTTTATCACTACACGTATTCCAAGTGCATGTATTTCTCATATTCTTATCAAATAATTGCAATAATGTTTTTTTTATGATATTTCTAATTTGTGACGAAATTGTGACATTATCGTAATAAACACAAGAAAGAGAGTAAGTAAAAATATATTATGTAACATATTGTATTTTAAAAATTTATTATTATTAAGTTGTCACGTTGGAATAATAAAAGAAGCATTTTGATTTTAATTTCTAATTCAAATTTGTTATAAAAAAAAAAAGGATTAAATTTGGTTTTTCAATACGATGACTATAAAAATAATATATACAATCAGAATAAAATTTTTTCACACAAAAGATCAAATGTGAATGCTTTAACAGAAAGAAGAAAATATAAGAAAAACTCATTTAAATGTAATTTGATTTCAAAAATTATATATGTATATAAATTGAAAAAGAAAAAATATAGTTACCTGTAAAATACGAGCACAAACTGAACGAAATTTTGAATATAATGTCGTCAACGATTTTATAGAAAAGGTGTTGTGTTAGTTTTAAGAGAGATAATTGGAATGGATTAAGGAGAAGGAATAAGAAAAAGGTCAACTTTTTAGAAGGCTTCGATGTTACGGTAGAAGAGTGGGGAAAATCAGGTACATTTGGAGGGAACCAATAGATTAAGATAACCGAAAGATAGTTCTCTAAAAGGTCCATATTAATATTAAAATTCCTACATTCTGCTTGTTTAATCCGTGATTCTTAATATAGATAATTTGTGAGACAATGTCTTATTAAAGAATTTATTATTTAAAAAAATATGTATTTTATCATGATATTAAGTGGGACCTTTGAGGTTTGAAAAAATCAAGAATTTTTTGTTTAAATTTATAGTTTGATTGTTAAGAATAATATTTCAATAGTTTTAAGTCGGTATCTCAACTGTATATTCTGTTAGAACCAAAATCTTGTCTCGCTTTATTTTGCCGTCGCGTCAGCCAAGCTCCGTGAATGGAAGGTAATTTAAATTTTCAAAAGACAGGTTTTGGCAGATGAAGAAACTGAAAGACATTTATATACAGTAGGCATTACAGATTAAAGATATAATTCCAATTTATAAGTTTATGAAAGATAAAAAATCAGTAAACTTTAAATGTGTTTTTCTTAAAATAAATTAAAAATGCGATTTGTTAATATCTGAGAAATGTTCTTTGATCTTAGTTTTTAATTGTCTTTTGTGGTCAATTATGTTGTCTAGTATTATAATTTATTAGCACTATATTATCCACTATTAGAGTTACATCAAGAAAGCTGATCGTCAATGGCCAATCTCATTTTTATAAATTGTAATTGTTTGTGAAAGGAATTAAAAATCTTTAATATATCATATTTAAATAGATAATTAATTGATGCTGTATGCAAGTAAAAAAGTAATATCCTCTAAGTTTCTATAAACAGAAGATTATAGTAGATATATAATTGGGAATAGACTCCTGAATGTCTTTCAAAATCATATAGGTAATCACTGGCGATAATGATGAGTCTATGTGTGTGTGACATTAAAATACAACATCATGGATTCAATAAGCAGAATGATCCAGATTTTTCACCAGAGAATTCTGTTTTGGTTTTTAACTTAATTACCGTTTTCTTAACGTACCTGACTTTCTCTCTTTTATTTTCCACATTTCTACCTTGTATCACATATAGGAATCTTGATTGACCTCTTCTTATTTTTTCTTCACTTGATTCATTCCTAATGTTTGTCTCAAAACTAACAAACATTTTTTCTTTTGCTGCTATAATATGTTCCAAAGTATTTATATTCTGTTCAGTTCGTATTGTCATTAGGCAATTCTTAATTTCTTTTTCTTTTTCAATTTGCATTTATTTTTTGACATCGAGGATAGTTTATATATATATATATATATATATATATATATATACACCAGTTCTGACTCAGGAGCTCTGAAGAGGATAAACGAGTAGGGAGTTTACGAGTTGCGGGACAAGAAACAGGAAAATACGTCACTATAGGAGCGGGATCTCCCCCCTCTCTTATCACTTTATTCATCTCGGAGATCCAAAGTTTGGCTTACTATCACCACATTCCAGTGAATTTACATATGGTATATGTATATTTTTTCTTTCTATTAAAACATTCGTCCACGTTAGACATTTTGTAAAAAATATTTATCGTAAAGGAAAGTTGCCGATTGTGTGTATGTGTAGATACCTAATATCAATCTAAACACTTCATCAATATTTTATATTATTAACATTT